CCCCAAAACCCCAAAACCCCAAAACCCCATGAGGTAGTACAGAGTTGATTATAACACACTGTGAAAATTCACGAATTAAGATTGTTTATTTTATCATCCGACTAAACAGAGGCATGAAAGATATAGCAAGAAGCTGCCTAGAATGAATTCACCAATAGCTTTTTTATTTGAGAAGTCTCTGTATTCATCATCGCTTAACTGAATTCTTAGTGATGCTAGATAATAGATAAACATAATTATTGGTTTTATTCTTACCAGAGAGTGCAAATTGACCTAATGAGCAGAAGAGACCAGCGAGGAGGGAATTAAATGGATCTTTGCCTGCAACTTAGGAGTATACTAGTTAAATAACAAAGGTTGCAATGCTGAGGATGATAAGGCCATCAAGCATCTTGAGTTTAGGGTGAGTGTTATCTAGGTATTCCTTGAAAATTCTTGCTGATGCTTCTTTTAAAGCTGGTAATACGACTCTCACGTCATTCATGTTGACTCCCACAAACTTTTCGACTTGCTTCATTTTTTATATAATCTAATATTATAAGTAAATTATAATTGATTTAATGTCTGTTCAAAATTAGTTTTAGAGTAAAATTCTATAAAATTAAGGGAATCAGAGATTTCCAGATCAATAGTCAATCTCCTACTCCTAAGAATCAACAGCTATACATAATAATGGAGTCAATAATCACTAATATAACAACCAAAACTCGTTTCAGAATTTAAATGGAGTAGCTCTTAATGGTGGGCTGCATTAAAGTCAATATATGTTGTAATCCAATCAATTACCGCAACATATATAATCACTAAATCTACAAACTACTCCTAATTAACTTCCTTAGTAGCAGAATAATATTCAAATTACAAATGGTGTTGCTCATTAACTTGAGGCCTAAGTATAAATGCCAAGTGTGGGCTTAGCACTTAGGAACCTACTGAATTTTATAAGAGCAGATTTTAATAGCAAAATGTAAGTAGATCGATAAATATTCCCTATCAAATTAGAGCATTTATTCCACTCAAATTAATTTTGCATCATTAAAAATTTTCAAACATAGAGTTGACTTTGCAAATCAATCTTAGGTTGAGGAGTAGAAGTTTTAAGCACTTTCGCAAAGTCACTAATTTTAAAATTAGTATACTCAGCAGAGAACCTAGGCAGATTTGTACAGATAGTATGTTGTGGGTTTTGATGGAAAAGGGTAGTACGACAGGTTAAAATAACTGAAGAAATTTATTACAAATACTAAGTATCTTATCGAAAACATATAAATTGCAATATTATCTTCTCAAAAAGAGAATAGATTCTACGTAAAACATAATACCCCATACTTACAATTGATTTGTGATCTTAATATTATTAGGAACTAAAAAATCACTACTTGAAGTATATTGAGGAATTAAATAGCAAGACTTATGAGTTGATAGGGCTTGAGAAAGTATTTAGGATATAAAGAAGAGCATATATAGTAACCTAACTTATAAATTTACAGTAAGAAGAGAATTATTTAATTATTCTTTTAGAGATCCCTCGTATGACTTAAAAGCAGCTCTTTGGATTTTTTCACACTAGCCAGAATATATAAATAGTGAAAAACTAATTGACATAGCGAATTTCAATAGAAAAGACAAAAATTTAGTTGAAATTCTAAAATCTCAGTGCTTTGGTCAATTCAATTATATGCTTCGAAAAGGGGATGAAAAATAAATAGAAGCGAAAATACAAAGAATTTTGAAGGAGAAGTCACAGGATGGATTAGAAAGTTTACCATTTTAATTCGACCAAATTCAGTAAATATTAGAGTGCTAATTTATAGATTTGAGGGTTAGAGTTTGAAATTGAGCATTCCAAAGATACTATCAGTAATGCTAAGGCTTGACTTTATTTAAGAGGATATGGACTACATACTAAATGTAATTGACTATTCATTTGACTCCCTGGATGATTAAATGAAAAGCGATAATGAATCAAGTTTAAAAACTTCAAATAGAGCTGAGATAATTAGATAGGTATGAATTTCAAATTGAATATTCAATTGATAGGGTTTTAAACAAAGGCTAAGAGATAAGATTAATTTCAAAGTATATGAGAATAGAAATAACAAAGAGATTAATTAGGTACATCTGATCTTATCAATTTTACTTGAGTTCATGAAGAAACTAGTTTTCAAAAAATTCATGGTTGATCTAAGTTAAATAAAGCAAGTGAAAAATCTAAGGTGTATTTAAGCAACATAATCTTAAAATGAGTCAATACAATTTGAATTGGTATTAGCTTAGAATGAAAGACCCCTAGCATTGTAGATAGAGAACTTGGATACGAAAATTTAAAATGTGCATTTACGATTTTCAAGAATAAAAATAGAGCTATTTAAGTTGAGTTATAACAGACCACTACCTATTACTGAGAATAGTTAATTTATCAAGATGTCTAAGAATATTCCAATACAATTAAATGGAAGCAATGGTTTAAGAGTGGACGGTTTTATTGCAACAATCAATTAGAGACATCAATATCTTAAGCTTATTGAATATTTTGAGTCCTTCCAAGATGAAATTAATCTTAGCTGTAAGTTGCCATTAAAAATTAATTCTTATTTTTTCTAGATCCACAACTGTAAATATCACTAAATGGCGAAAATCAATCGATTGAGCTCCTACTATATACAAAAAGTAAATTAGTGTTGCAAATAGTCTCTGGCAAAGGTCTATTGATCAGTGAATCTTCTCATTTAACTCTAAATCAATAAAAGATAATCGTAAGTTTATACATTACTTAGAATTCTCACTTGCATTAACCTGATTTATTAATTTTAGAATGAAATGCTACTGTAAACAAACCCAAAAGACTTTAACCAAGTCTAGTGCTTATTCAAAATTCTAGTTCCACATTCATTTTTCCATTTACTAGAATGTGAACTTAGAAAGAATACAACTAATCCATTCATTCATAAATCAATCGACGAGTTTGTTGACTTGAGAAGAGCAGTCTTAAATACATCACTTGTTTTGCATGAGTGTGATACATACCCGACAGCTCCAATCTTCTAGACCTGGCTTATGAAAACTCTCTAGTAAAGCTTCCGCTTTGAATTAAAAGACCTAGTCAAGACTTATAAGCAGCTCTATTCTGATCAAATGATTATTGTTGTCAATGTTAAACCTGCAGTCGGAGAACTCGAGTTAAGATTGGAGAAGAGGCCTAGAAATATAATATTCGTGAAAATTGCGATTGACTAGGAGGAACGTCGAATTCAGAGAATGTCAGATATAGTGGTTACCGTTGAGCATACCCAAGTAATCCATCATATTGCAGGATAAAGTCCAATGGAGGAATACAGACTCTAGGGTGAAGGAATCGACTTCGACTAGTTAGTGAATTTATTGATAGGAGAAAATGAATAATGAAATAGATCGAAAAAAGTTTTAATAAATTACGCTTCACGCTCAAATTAATAATGAATTCATTGATATAGATAGTTTCATAGTTATATACTTAATTAGTTTAAAATTTTAACCCCCAACCACAATTTTAAAAATTTTAAATATTAGTTAAAGAAGTTTATAGAAAATATCTTTGCGTGAACTTTTAGGGAAAATTAAAGTACAGTTGCTATTGTTACAAATATGCAAGCCTATTTGATTTATCTTCGCATGAATGCTCTTAAGAATAGATAGACTATCATGAGACATCTAAACATCAATTAATAAGGATATGATTCAAAAAGATATTTGAGTGAGTGATGAAATAAATTTTGCTTCTGTGTCAGATGGTGATGCATGAAGTTGTTTTCATGGTTTATCAAACAAATGGGTAGTAAGTTATCATCGCTAAAGAAGCAACACACTTCCTAATTCACAGTCAAATTAGAAAGCATATGGGGGTTCAGAGTTTAGAGTTTGGTTACTTACCTAATCAAGAGCTCATATTTAATATGTTTATTTATTATTAACTATCAATCTGTACTTGATTGTATACTATCGGGGTTTTGGGGTTTTGGGG